CTTTAGTCCGTCCCCCCCTCCCTTTTTTTTTTTTTTTTACCTGAAACAACTCAGATCAAATAGTAATAACAGGCAAGGGTCTGTAAAACAGGTTTCTTAATCAAAACTATACTTCGGGGCAGGGTCGGCCTTAGGGAAAATGGCGCTATGGGCAAACTTGTATTTTGGTCTCCCTGGCCCCCATGGGCACAGTGACCCCCCCCATTACCTCTGGCCCCTGTTAATGCCCCCCCTTGCCCTGGGCCCTGTGGGTTCTCCGTGCTCCCCACTCCCCTCCTGCGCCCCTAATCCCTGTACTCCCCTCCTGTGTCCCTAAGCCCTGCACTCCCCTCCTAGACCCACGTGGAGAAACTGAGCTGGATGTGTGGAGCAGCTGGCATTGCTGCTTGCTCCCCCAAATGCTGCTCCTCCATGTACTCCTAGGGGGCTGTGAGGTGGGGACCAAGGAGCGATGTCAGGGTTCGTGCATCCAGGTCAAACTTTCCCCACCTGGGGTGAGTAAGAAGAGAGCAGGAGAGTAGCAGCTCCTGATGCTCGCTTCACAGCACAGCCCAGGTGGGGAAAGTGACCTGGATGCACGGAGCGCTTAGTATTGCTCCTCACTCCCCTCCTCACAGCCCCTTAGGGAGACGTGGAGGAACATGTGAGGGGGGGGCAAGCAGTATCTGTTCATCATCACTTCCTCACCCACCCAGGTTCCTATGCCAGGAGTAAGCAGGGAGAAATCTGGGAGCCCCTGCCAGGCATTGCTCCGCTGCCAGCCTGGAGCAGTTTCTGATTTTACGCCAGCAGCACACACCTCTGTGCTGCTATGCGCACCCCCCTGGATCATGGCGCCTCTTGGCGGTTGCCCGGGTGGTCCACCCCAAGGCCATCCTGGCTTAGGGGTGTTGTACAGAACAGGGCAGAGACCATGTCTTATTTACGAAGTTTACAATGTAAATTTCTAGTGGACACAACTAGTGAGTGTAACATAGAGAGGCATGAGGAATCACAAAAGTTCCAGTAATAAGATCCCATGCTTGCTCTTTTATAGTATGTGTCCATCTTTATTCTTCTGCTTGAAATATTTTTTTTAACTTAACTCACTTCTTGTAGCAGTGGAGAAGTGGGTTTTTAGAAGGAACTTGAATCTGGTGATGGCAGGAATTAACTAATGAAGATGAGAGGACATTCTATGCATAGGGTTCAGAATAGAAAAAGGCAGGAGACAGGACTGGGAAAAATCAAGATTGGTGAAATTGGGGCAAGATAATAGGAGTTAAGGTCAGAGATGTTGGCCAGAGCAAAACTGGACAAAGAATTTTCTTATGGTATAAAATATGAAATTGCTGTATCCCTTTTATACATCAAATACAAATCTAATATAGAAATTGATGAAATTACATTGTTTTGGGGTATTCTAGAAGAACTTCCTGAAAATAATTCAGCTGTTGAAAACACAAATAAGAAATCAGTTGCCTTTGATATTACCCTCTCAGATGATGAGACTACTCAGAAAAAGGCCCTTTTGAAAAGTGAAATTGCTGATGACTTGACTTCACTATTAGATGAAGAAAAACATCAACAGATGACAATTTTGAAAAGCCAAAACTTGAGTGGTGACAGAGAAGATGAAACAGAATGTTCATTCATTGAAAAATTAACTTGTCATGGTAATGAAGGTGACTACTGTAATGAATCACATATGGCTGTACTGCAACATGAAGGAGAAGAGATTACTCAACATGAATTTGAAAACAAACCAGTACCAAAGCTAAGGGAGCACAGAATCAAAAATATATCATCAGGTAAAAACAGGCACTTGAATATTGTTGCTGCTGTTTGTGTATTCGTATTATAATATTTTTAAATGAATCTAATGTTGGAAATGAAAATAATGTTAGAATTATTTAGACTTCAGTATAGGTTGTGGTTTCAATATCTTTAATATCAAAGAGGATCAAAGTTTTAACTAATTTTTTAAGTGCTCCTTTTAATATTCTGCAACTGCCTGCCATAAGTAACTAGATAAACTGACAAATTCTAGGCAAATAGAAGATTGCTGAAATCATATGATAGACTATATCAGAAAGAGAGAACAGAGAGTAGTACACCTCTACCCTGATATAACGCGACCCGATATAACACGAATTCGGATATAACTCGGTAAAGCAGTGCTCTGGTGGGGCATGGCTGCGCACTCCGGCGGATCAAACAAGTTTGATATAACGCAGTTTCACCTATAACGCGGTAAGATTTTTTGGCTCCCGAGGACAGGTTATATAGGGGTAGAGGTTTATATGGTAAGCCGCACTCTGGGATTTTACGCTGTAGCAGTGTCCACAAGTGACATTACTGCGTGGCAAGCTTGTGCGCTGTTGATTCAGACCCTGGTTTGCCATGCAGTAACTTGCCATATATCAATGATATTTTATCTTGAGATAAATCCATGGCCCATTTACTATCAATGATGGGAAAACACAAACTGCAATGAGTGGTGCGTGATAAACAGTAGCAAACACTTTGTAATTCCCCACTTCCACACACACATGGTGGCAGCAAAGCTTCAGGTACTTTAATCTGAAAATCTTTCTTTGGACAGACAAAAGTTCAGACATCCTTTATCTAAAAAGCGAGTACACAGACACCTGCTTCTCTTTTCCAACAGGCAACCAATTTTAAATTATCTCATGTTTAGGCAATTTGATCTAATCTCTGGTCAGTGACTTCCTCTAATGAAGGATAAACTTGGCCTCTTTCTTTGATATTCTAATGGCTTGAGGACAAATTCACTTTATTTATTTGCAAGTCTTTCCTCCCACTAAGAGTTTAATTAGTGTTTAAACAGTGTGGATGGCCTTGATGAGCCCTGTGCACTGAGATGAATTTCACCCTTGTTTGCACTATAGGGTTTATGAAATGATGTTTTAGAAAACGGCACTAAGCACACCCATTGTACTTAGGGTGACCAGATGTCCCGATTTTATAGGGACAGTCCCGATTTTTGGGTCTTTTTCTTATATAGGCTCCTATTACCCCCTGCCCCCATCCCGATTTTTCACACTTGCTGTCTGGTCACCCTAATTGTACTGTTATTTCCTAATGCTCAGACACCAATATTTCCATGGCTAGCTCTGGGTTTGGAAGTTCATTTTGGATATGGGTTAGCATGCAGAGAAGCACACCAAGCAACACATTTCAGTGTTCCCTCTCTTCTGAATGAATCTAGTCCTTGTGAAAGATGTTAGGCAGGATAGCTGTACTGCCACTGGCTGCCTGGGGACAGCTGTGGATTGGGGAAAATTAGTTTTTGCTTGAAAAAAGGCATTAATTGAGCACTGCTTTGAAGGCTCTGCAACTTGTCTGGGAAAATGCTGACTCTATTGGCTGTTCTCAGGTTCCTTCACCCTGTTCCTTGACAGCACACTTTATTTCTTTGTGACTGCCGAGCCCTGAACTTTTTACAAAAGGAACAGTGATTGATGCATAGAAGGGGGCAAATATCCCAGTAATCACCTGGCCCCTCCCACCACCCTTCTCACTGCATTTATTTTTTCCCCACACATTTGATCTATTCTGCCCTGCGTAGAGGGAAGCACATGGGTTCATATAATGAGTCTAGTAGACTTATAAAAAGAATAGAGAAGGATCACAATGGAAGGTCTTCCCACAGCAGTGCTGCATTAGACTGATGCTGTTTTTGCTGCCTTTATTAGATTTATCCAGTCTATTAGGTTTGTCTTTCGGGCCCCAGATAAACACCCAAGTATAATACTCAAAGTGTATATCTAAATATGTACAGAGAACATAATAAATTGAAAGATGAACTTCTGGCCTGTGTCTTTACATTGCATTCAAAGCTTCAAAACTTGGTTAAAATTTCTGAAGACATGTTTTTTAACTCTCTCTCTCATATACTTGGCTGCATTTGTTCTGGTTTTGTTGTTTTCATCTTCATTGTAGTAAGAGCCTCAGGACACTTCATTTTTTTTAAAGTAATATATCATGGTCATTGACCTGCTGTGACTGCTGCTTATTTACTGAAGATAGGGATTCATCTGAAAATGTTAGTCAAACCTAAACTGACAAAATAATATTCCAGACTGAATAAAATATCTTTAGTGGATGATATTGAAATAACAATATTTATTGTCAGCTGAGAATGTCAGTATTTCTGCACTGGATGATCATTCTAAACCGTCACCTCAACCAAGAAGTGTCTTAAGAAAGAGCAGCCATGTAGAAGACAAAGATGTTGCCAGGGCAGAAGATAAGGCTTCTTCTAGTTACAGATTATCTTCATTTTCTGCACCATCCTCCCTGACTAGGCTGAGTGACAAAATAACAACATCTGAGAAAAGGGCACTTGCTGAAAGCCCTAGTCCTGAGGTAAGAGAATTATTGTAGTATCTATTATATTTGTGCATCGTTATCTATTTTTTCTTCTACGTATGTTTTGCCTATTCTAGACTGTGGAATAACATAATTTACATTAGAGGCTTTTTTCCAAACACCCTTTTTATTCACCTGTGATTGTGATACCATTTTCCATAACAAAAAAAATAGGGGGTGGGGAGAGGGTGAAAGAGGTACATTTAATCAAGTTTTCAAGCAGCATTGCTCCTTGGATTGAAAAAGTGGAGCTTCTGTGTTAAATAGTCTCCTACATTTGCAACTTTGAGCATTCTGTTGCCTTGCTGTATCTCTACTGATCTACAAGGAAGTAGTTCTCAACTATAGGTCATTAGTATTGGCAGAATTTGATCTTTATTTTTTATAATTTCAATGAATAATATTGTTTATTTTAAAGCATTTTTCCAATTTTTATTGATTTAGTTTTTCATAGTTTGCAAAATTATGGGTTTTAAGCAATTTTTTGTATTTACCTATTTAAATTTTCACTGTTGCAGGAAATTATGGATGGAGTCAGACAATGTGGTGGGGGGTCAGACAGTAATTATCTGATCACAGTAGACCTTAAGGTTCAGAAAGTTAAAGCTTTATAGCCATTAAAACATAAATTGTCAACATCATATGTCTAAATATACAAAACAAATAACAGCATTTTTTTTTACTTTGCCTATCTGTAAATTTTTATTATTATTGATGGAAATATTTTTAGTGGATTTGTGTGTGCACAGTGAAATTGACATTTACCAGTAAAAATCTAATCCTTCCAAGCCTAGAGGTATGTTGTTATAAAAAAGTTCTATCCCTTTTCATGCACATTTTTCTTCACCAATGTAACATGACTAATAAGTTGTATGTAAAGATTTCTTTATGCTGTGAACAGAGACCTAAAGATGACTACATTAATTTTGTTTTCTCAAAATTGGTGGATGATGGTGTGGAAAGAAGGTCATGGGGACAGAATCCTTCCTCCATAAGATAGAAAAATGCTCTAGGCAGTACACCTAGTTACCATGTCAGCATGCAGAACCTTTCCACAGAGGAAGGGTAGTGGCCTATGTTGAGTCTCAAACTGACTAGTATATATGCTACTTATCAGCAGTATTCAGAGGAACAGCAACAGGTTGAACACTACTTCTTGTTGCTATGTCCTGCCATGGGGAAAGTGCCTAATTGTGCCTGCAGGATTCTTATGGCAGACGGTACAGCTGACATCATCTTTGCTCTTCTTTGGCCATATCTACTGCTCCACATTTGGGACTAAGGGGGTGTTACTAGCAATGCCCACCAAAGTCCTATGCTGTATCTCCCCTGTATGGTTGTTGCAGGCACAAACTAAAAGGTTCCTAGTTTGCATTAACATCACTTCTTTTCACGCCCCTATAGTCCAAACTGTGGGACAGTATAGACAAGCCATCTGTTTCATTATTAAGGGCAGGATTTGACCTTAACATGTGGTGAGTTTACACCCTTTTTAAAATCTGTTTGTTTACCTTTACATCTCCTTTAATTTAAACAGTAGCCATATTTTTCTTAAGGAACTTTAAATAAATATTGCATAGAAAACTATGTTTTAGAAGCAAGTTAACTGATCTTGATTTGGTGTGAATTGTTCATGTTGCTTATGCTGTCACTTTCTGCTTTAAGGGTCCATGGCTAACAAGCTCTCCACCACCGTTCCCTATTCATTTTCATTCAGCTGATGAAACATCTGGAGACTCCAATTTGCTAATGTGTGGCGAAGGCTTTCCTTCAAAAGGTAGAAATCAATATACTTCATATAGAAGCATTGTACTTGAATATGTGCAACCAGTGAAATAATATAATTGCTTAGTATAAGCAACTTTTAAGGGCCTGATACTACTGTCCATGATGTCAATGTAGTCTGTTTCCATTGATAGAGGTGGATCCAAACCCAAGTTTATTTTAGAAATCTGAGACTAGCTACAATATGCATCTCCCCTGCATTATTATGTATTATTGGTCTCAGTTTGTTGCAGAGGAGTAATCAATAAGGTTACATCTACACTACACACCGCTCTTGGTGGCCTATAGCATACATACCCAGGTAGCCCCCCTAATATAAATAGTAGTGTAGCATGACTTAGGCGAGTAAAGACATACCAAAAGGATGTGGATAAGTATGTGAATACATACCCTACACATTTTCTACTTGGCCAAGCTGAGCCTTCCTATCTACATTGGTATTTTTAGCAGCATAGTGTCCTGCTGCCTTCCTGCTTTGGAGCCTCTCTCCTCCATGGAAAGACTCCCCCAGTGGGGGGGAAGGTTCTGGCAGCGGAGAGGCATCAGCTGCCTCCCTCTTGCCAAAGCCTTTCACTGACGTGTAGCTACACACCTCAGTGTGGACACAGCCTACTTTTCCCTGGGGTGTGTAACTACATGTACACTTCACACTGCTGAAAGTGGTGTGTAGTGTTGATATAACCTAAGATGGCTTCTGGAAGTTTACTGTAGTTACATTAACAAATTGAAATCATAACTGATGTTGTTTGCAGGTTCTTTGTTACAAGCAGTTCTGAATAGTGTCAGAAAGCATGATACATAAGAACTAGATAAACATTCTTTTTAGGGAGACAGACTAAAGTTTGAGAAATGAGCTCCTACCTTTGCTCATATTCTCTGTACTTAACACTGTCTAAACATCTTTGAGACTTGCTTAAACTACTGCTCCTGAATTTCCCTCTCCATTCCAACCTAGTCACTTCCTTTAATTAATAATCTCCATCTGCCTTCAAATGTCCCTCATCTTCCTTCACCCCTTCCAGGCACAGATCTGTCTTGCCAACTGACTAGATAAACTGTTGGTCACCATTTCATGTATAATGGGAGGATGGTCTTATGGAAATTACAATGTCTGCATTCTGTTCCTGGTTTTGTGAACTTGCTCAAGTTACTTATCCTCTCTGTATTTTTGTTTACTATTGCTTAAATGGGGATGATAAATATTTCTTTGTTTCTGCATTGTACAAGACACAGACATACCGAGAATCCATGCCCCAAAGAGTTTACAATCTGTAAGACTGACACAGATAGATAAGATGCACAGGCGGACTCATAGAAGAAATTAATAGAGTTTAAATGGGGCCCTGCTGTGCTGTGTGTTATAGAATATGTATAAAAGGTAGTTCTCCTTGCCCTGAAAAGTTTACAATGTAGACAAGATGGACAAAGGGTTGAAAAAAGGATATAACATATAAACTGAGGGATGACTGGAAAGTGTTATGTAATATCTATATTTAGTTTGTACTCTTGGGTTGAAGAATACATTTGATGTGGGTTAATGCTTGTGGGCATTATGGTGAAGCAAGTCTTCTGGACAGCTTTGAACATGGAGAGGATGGTGAACCCTGTTGTACTTGATTGGAGAGGTTTTCCATGCATGGAAGGAAGAGATGAAGTAGTGAAGATGAGGACATTTGTGGAGCAAAGGAAGAAGGACAAATATGACAGACAAACAATACTGAGATGTAGTCTGGGGTAGATTTGTTCAGGGCATTGAAAGAGAAAATGAGAAATGTAAACTTGATACTGTAGTCTGTAGATGGGGGAACAAGTGGAATGGTTCTAAGAGGGAGTGCTATAGTGTGATCTGGCAAGGAAGATATCACAATAATAATGGTTGCCTTATAGCATTTTTCAACTAGAGATCTCAAAGCACTATGGGAAGATGGTACTGTAATCTCCATCTTCCAAATTGAGGCACAGAAGTAAAGTGATTTGTCCAAAGTCACACAGTAAATCAGTGGCAGAGCTAGCAATAGAACCAGGTGTCCCAGCTTGCAGTCCAGTGCCCTGTCCACTAACTCCATAGGACAATGGCAAGTGTTGCAGTTTAATTAATTTTTGTAAACGCCTCTAATATCTATAATTGGACAGTGATATTCAAATAAAATATGCAAACAATTAGAGTTCTCATTAGTACACTGGACTTTCCAGTGATTTAGCTTTCACACCTTCAAATTAGAACTTGTCCAAATGTTACCTTATAGAAGCCTTATAGGATACAGAGATCTCCAATTCATTGTTGTTAAATCACACTCTCCAAATTGTAGGCCCAGCTGCATAGCTGCAGTAATCTCGTAGCTAATTCCCTGTCACTTCCTCCTTTCAGAATTCCACCAAAAATGTGCAAAGGAATGTAACTTGAGAGTTACTATGGCTTCTCTTGATATTTGTCTTTATGTTTTACAGGTATAGAAATCCTATATTTATCACAGTGTAAATTACATTAGGAATACCTGTTTAAAGCCTTTTAAAAATGAATGCTAATTAATGATTATTCCAGTGAGGCATATATTTAGTCTTTGATTTGTATTTTTTAAGTCCTGCATAAAAAAACGCCATCAGCTACTTAGCAAAATTTTCCTGTTCCAAAGGGGAAAATGTGTATCTGAGTCAGAAATAGCATATAAAGTGTTTTCTGCCATTGTTTTGCAAAAACCTCTGTAATACTTCAGTGAACGCCAGAGTAGCTCTTGATGTGATCCAAATGTTTCTTGCAGTTATTTCATGTGTTAGAAACTTGTCTGGATCTGATCAGGTGACTAAAGTTTACAGTTTTGCTGAACTGTTTTATCTCAAAACTGCTGCAACTTGCCTTAAAATAAAAAAATACATTTGTTGCAGCAGTAATATTAACTTGTAATATGATTTTATGTATACTTTTGTAAGTCATTAAAGTATACAGAAGATAATTTGTCTTGTATCAAGCTTAATGAGCTTTTTCATACATGAATATTTTAAGTACTGTATAGAAATATCTCAATTAATGAACCACAAACTTTTTCTTAAAAATTACATCTCTTGATGTCTCATTTCTCATCTCCCATATTGGTTTTTTGACTTGCTTTAGCCCAGGATCAAACAGTAGATGATGACTGCAGGGATTTGAAATTGGAGAATAATGGCAGAAAATCCCCATCTGTGATAGAACTAATGATGACTACAGTGTATGAGAAAACTAAAAAACTACAAAAATCAACTGATGACCAGCTTGAAGAAAATTTGCAAACATTGGAAGAGAAATTCATTGCTGATGGCATAAAGGAAATGTCACTGAATGATAAATCTGAAGACATGGCGGAAGTGAGCACTTCAGAGGACTTGGACAAGGTATCTTTTAAACATATAATTTTGTATCATAATTTATAATAAAGACCTGGAAGCCTCAATGAAAAGTTATCATATGAAACTTGTTGGTTCCATCTTGTATATGTACAGATATTATTTTATAATAGAATCAATATTAGAAGCCACCCATTACTGCCTGGTTTCTGATATTGATTCTGTTATAAAATAGCATCAGTTTTGAGAAGATGAGGGGAACATACGTTCAATGAATATTTAAAAACAAATAAAAGGTACAAAACTTTGGGCTTGTTGGCCTTATTTAAATCCACGTCTAGAATTTAAAATAAACCGGGTCAGATCTTTAGGAGGTATAAACTGGCTTAGATCAGTTGAGGTGAATATGCCAGCGGAAGGTCTAATTTACGATGTTTTAAGTGCTGTTCACACCAGTGATTTGTATAATGCATATGGTAAGTGTTAGCTATAGTACAAGGCAAAAAGAGAATATACTTATACTTAGATTGAAAGCTTTTTAAGGCTGGGACTGTCTTTTTGTTCTATTTGAGCCCAGCATGCTGGGGTCCTGGTCCATAACTAGGACTGTTCAGTGCTCTGGTAGTATACAGTTACTAGTAATTACTTGTATTATCTACTTTCTCTTTCTATATTAAGACACTTTTAAAATGTAATCCCGACTAAATAGTGATGTTTCTGTGTAAAGTACTATAATGGAGATTATGGTATACTTTATTTTGGTTTTTATTTATAAGATCATGCTGGACTTCATCTTGGCTACATTTTGTTGATTATAATAAGCACAAAGAATGGCAGAAAATACTTGTTCCCCTTCCTTGCATTCATATTTTGCACTCCTGTATTTTATGAAGCCTCCGATACTCTGGAAATGTTGTATGTGCTGCAGAACTGGTTTTGTTGTTTGACAGGTATAATATTTTTATTTTTCCTTTTCGGTTTGTTAGAAAGAATTTGAATATAAGGAGTCACTTGCACAAAAAGTGAGACCTTCTTCATCAAGCAGGTAAGTAAACAATACCGATATGTCAGTGTTTACAATCTGATCCCATCTGATATGATCTCTTCAGAAAGGTAAGATACGCATGATCGACACACACTGGCCACTTATTCATCACACCCATCATCACCCTGTCACCAACATTTGGCCTTCTGTGGAAGGGTGCTGGAGGAGGGGAGGTGCAGCTTTTTTGCAGGGTGACAACCCTCCACATCTCCACTGGCAGATCAGACCCACCAAGGGCCTTTGTCAAAATCTTCATCTATTTGTGCCACGAGACCCACAAGTGACTCTAGCCCACGGTTTTACTCCTGGGAGATTTCTGCGCCACTGCACATGTGCAGAATTTATGTCCCCCACAGATTTCTTTGCTTTCCTGCAGAAAAATGACTTTCTGATGGGGAAGCAAAGGGAAGCCACAAGAACGGTCACGTGACCCTCCCCAGCAGTATGTTTTGGGTGCCCAGGGAAGCCAGCAGAGAGGAAATCACTGTGGGGCAAGGGGCAGGACTTGGCAAGGGTGGGGGAGACTTGGTTGGAGGGATTGGGTATGAGGGGGTCTGGATGCACAGGGGTTGAGCGGATGGGACCAGCTCCCTGTGCAAGGATCCCTCCCCCAGCTGCAGGAATCTCTGCAAACTCTTCACCCCCTCTGCTTCCTGCACCCATCGCTCCTCAGCTGCAGGGGGAGGGATCCTTGTACAGGGAGCTGGTCCCATCCGCTCAACCCCTGTGCATCCAGACCCCCTCATACCCAATCCCTCCAACCGAGTCTCCCCCACCCTTTCTCCTGGACCACCCTGATGAGCCACCTGGATCCCCACCCCACCGAGCCCCAACCAGCTGCTCCTGGATCCCCACCCCACTGAGCCCCACTCCTCCAGCATGTAAATTCCCCACTGACCCCCCCCAAACCCAGACCCCCCCCTGCCGAGCTCTATTCCCCCCCACCACCCAGACACAGACCCCGGCTGAGCCCCAACCACTTCACCTGGACAGACTCCCATTACTATGGTACCCAGAACCCCCAAACAAGCCCCTGTGCATCCAGATTCTCCCCTGCCCCCCCACTGAGCCACCCGCACCCAGATTGCCCTACACAGAACCCTCTTAACCCACACCTGGATCCCGCCACACTTGGATCCTACTTTGCTGAGCCTGTCTGCCCACACTTGGTGCATCCGGCACGGAGGGGCAAGGCCCTGGTGTGTTTCTGGGGCAGGTCCGGTCCTTGCTCTGTGTCAGGGTTGGGTGCAGCCTCTCTGCTGAGTCCATGTTCCGGGGGGAGATGCACAGTGATCTCCCACCTCTGTGCAGCCAGTGGCCTGTGCTTCCCAATGCCATGCTGGAGCCTCCACATTTATTTGATAAATAAAATTTGCAGAATTTTTAATTTTTGGCGCAGAATGCCCTCAGGAGTAACAGTTTGTACCTGTCTCAATATGTTCTTGTTAGATTAAAGCATATAGGGCTTCTAATACTTTTGAACTGAAATTATTATGTTTGTGGAATTCACATTCTCTATTGGGTTGGCTAGCAGAATTTTTGTAGGTCCTGCAGGTTGTTTTAGTAGTGATAAAATCCATGTAAAAGCAGAAATGGACAATTCAGGCTGTCTCCTCCTCTTTCTCCCCCCACCCCGCCAAAAGATATAACCTTGTGAAAACAGGATTATGAGCAATATCTTGAAGTAACTTCAATGAGAAGGCGCTCTACCTGGCATCCACTATAAGAAACTGAAAGCTTATTTTGATATATTTATGAATTGATGCTTCACAGGTCTCTGTCCTCTACATACTTGAAGAAAGCTGGGAAAACCATCCCTTCATCTACAACTACATCTTCTCAATACTTGGGAACATTAAAGGTCTTGGACAATAAACACTTACAAAAATATAGTGCTGAGCTTGACAAAGCAGATAGTCTACGAGCAGCTGTTTATCAGGTAAATTTTGGCATATCAAAATCCTGCATGAAAAGATCCTGCCAATAAGAATAAAAGCCTGTTAATTATACTCAATATGTGTATGCACCTTTCTTAAATCAAGACTTTTTTTTATTCTTAAAAAATTATGCTTCACTACAAAGGGTGAATTCAGATGAGAAAGAAACAAACTTATCTCTATTTTACTGTTGTGGCAAAATGTTTTTAAACACAATAGATGATCTCCTTTATTATATTTGTTGTTTTTTATTTTTAATATGTATCCTATACATTCTTTTCTCTGTATTTTCTGTTCCAAAGGCACATTTAATGGGAAAGGTAAAAAGAACTTTATGTCAGATCTTACATTTTTCCCTGGAGCAGCATAATCTATCTGAATTCTGCTGCCCTCTGTAGTAAAAATGAGCATAAATCTCAACTGTGGTCATAGCCGTCTATTGATCATAAGTTATTTCCGCATAAGGAAAATCATATTCACTTAACTAAACAGTTTAAGGGTTCTAAATGTCATGTTGTCTCAAGTATTTTGTGTTCATTGACTCGTAGCCACTTTCTAAAGTCAAATAGTCTTCATTAAGATATTTTAGCTTCTCAGTACAATCTACTAAACACATGAACAAATGTACAAAATTTGACCCTGATCCTGAAAACTCACCCACTTCTAAAACTTTGTGGATGTCTACAGCCCTTGAAGCCAATGGGTTGAGGACTTTTCATTGCAGATATTTCTGAATTAGACATATAATAGGTTAGAGTTTTTTACTAAATTTTGGGATCCTGTAGATCCTAAATGGCTAAAATGTATTCTGTACTTTTAAAACAAAAATCACCCAGGGGAAACTTAAAATAGTGGTTGTAGATATTTTGTATTAAAAGGTTTATTAGCTGCAGCTCATTCTTGTACATGTATACATGGGTATGCTTCCTTCGCTCCCCAACAACTATTTTTCTGATGCCCTATTGAAGATTTTGAGATGTAGTGTTATGTCATTTATATTGCTCTGCTCTCCCATCCCTCCACCCCCCCAGGATTTTAACATTGGAGATAAATCAACCAGTTAGCTCCTCCTTCTTTCCTGCCCTTCCATGCTCACATTCTCTTTCTTTTATTTCCATACTGAAATCTTTTTGTTAAAATAGAGTTATTAATTTCTTAAGTTTTATTCTTAAAAGTTGAAACCTTTGATCAGAATATTTTTTGTGCTGCAGATCCTCAGAATGTGGTTTAAATGACACCTCACGCATCCAAATGGGCTTATTGCTATAGTAATAGTTTGCATATATAAAATGATGATGATTTTTATATATGAAAACAGAAATACTGTCAGCATTGCCTATGGTCGGTCATTACATCAGATGTTGCTTTATCAATAATACTCAGTTACTTTGGTACAAGATCTAGTTACTGCTTAAAACTCTTCAGCTACAGCTTTTTCCTTAATCTTATAGGATTGGTTGGAAAAGAAAAGAGTCTTTCTACTGGAACTGCAGAGAATTAAAAGGAACAAAGTAGAAAATTTAAAGAACGCAAATGAAAAGGTTTGTTTAAATTTAAATATTTGATTAAATAGGAGCTAGCAAACTGCTACTCTGTAAAGTAATGTCATTACAATATTTGTTGTGGTGTATTTAAAAAAGGAAAGAAACACAGAAATGAAATAGTGGAAATCCCCTTCATTGGGACCACTTTGCAACCCCTCAACCATCAACAAGCATCTCTAAATCCATCATAGCGAACCACAAGAAGATTGCTCCAGTTTATGTGGAATGGAGCTGATGTAATAGCTCTTATATGTCCTAATCCTTGTGGCTGCCACAGGGAGTGTGGCTAGGGAAAAGAGGGGTGTAGCTGGTGCTTCCCTGCACCCTTAGAATCCTTGGATGCCATATAAATTAAAGCTATCTTTGCAGCTCCCTTCATGTTTCACTTTGTGCTTCTTGACTGCAGCCAGCAGTCTGGGTCCATCTTTGTATTTTTATTATGATGATTATGGGATAGTCTGTATTTCAGCAATGAAATTTAAAGAAGTCATGTGTCTGAAGATTTTCATGCTCTGTCTTGGCTCTTCTATATTCAACTGTACGTAAGCATCTAGATTTAAAGCAACATGTATGCAATTATATTCATCTTCCTTAGGAAAAATGGAGAATTAAGAACTGTTTTTTATACACAGTCTTCAGAAGTGAATCATAGTAGTTTTTATATCTATCAATCTTGTAGAAAACAGTCTCCTATTATAGGTCACAAAAATTGGTCATGCTCGAGCAGTAGTTGAAATCACAACTGAACCACTGATGTAGAATGTCTTCTGCAAGTCAGTTTTCTTTCATTTGTTTCTTTGGCTAGCACTACATTTGAGAGTTTAGGAAATGCAACATTTTCTGAAGTATAAACTTTTCTTATGTAGAAAGAAGCTATTAAGAAAGAAGAAGCAATTGCATCTTTTGAAGCCTGGAAGGCAATGAAAGAAAGAGAAGCAAAAAAGAAACTAGCTGAAAAAAAGAAGCTTGAGGAGTTGAAGAAACGGAGAGCAGCAGAACAGAATGAAGAGAAAAAAGAAGAAGCTCAAAAGGCAGTGAGAAATCTATACCTGACATACTTAACTCAAGAGAGTCCTTAGTAAAAATGTAGTTAACAACAAGAGATGGACCCAAACCATACCCCTAGACCTGAATACCCCGATCTTTGGGAGAATTCATGTCTAGACTGTCTTCTTTGTAGCAGGGGCTACTCTCTCATCCTATGCACATACACACATTTTTTCTATTGACATTTAGTTTTTTTTTAACGTGAAATACTTTGTTCCATATACATAAAGTAGTTAATCAACGGAGTAACGTGTTGGCATCAGAAAGGCTTTTCTAAGGAGCTGGGAGTAGTAAATTCTTCTTGCTCCTTGTAGCATTATCATTTGTGGAGCTAAAACCCTGTGAATGAGCAATCCAAAGGGGGATGGGTAGGAAAGAAAATATATCTATAATGTAAGGGAAGTTTTGGAACAAAGATGATATGCAACTTTGCTAATGAACTTGAGGTCTTCTTTAGGCATTTGAAAAATGGAAAGAAAAGAAAGCAGAATATCTAAGAGAGCAAAGTAGAAAGGAAAAACGAGCTGAAAGAATCAAGAAGAAGAAAGAAGAGGAAGCTATTGCAGAAAAGAAACGAGACAACATGTCTGCCGTTGATAAATGGTACTGCTACAGAAGATTTAGTTACATAACTGTGTATGGGCCAGCACCTATGTCTAATCATTTTGCAGAGAATATTTGGCCTGAGGACCTGAACCTGCAAGGGGCTGAGGATCCTCAATTCTCACGGAAATCAGTGGGAGGGAAGGGTGCTTAGCTCCTCACAGGGTCAGGCCTATTGTTCCCAAATGTGAGTGTGGTAGCTTCATTTTCGTTCTCATTTGTCCACCTTATAAAATTTGGCATACAGCTTCTATTCAGTCTGCTAAATTGAAAGTCTCTTCTCAAGAAAAGCCAATGATTTGAAAAGTATGAATGTTGCAAATCAAAAGTGAGGTACATTGGATAGCATGGAACCTTGTACTACCAATCCCATGCTTATTTAGTAACACTGGATTTAAAAAGCAGGCACTACAATTTGGGGTTTTATATAATCTATTGTGTTTCTTGGAAATCTAACAAATGTCTGGACAAACCAGGTATATTCACCAGTACATGAGATACATGTCTGCTGGATAGATTTTTTTCTAATGTCACCAAGAAGTGTGCTTTGTGCTTTACAGAACAAGTGAGACTGATTTCTACCCTGGAAAGGTTATAGTCTAATTTTAGAGATGACACAAAATGTGAGGAAAGGGAGAAGGAAAAACAAGGATTACAATAACACTAAGGGGCAATGCAGCTTATACATGTGCATATGTGGGTGGCCTTTGAAGATTTTTTTTAAGTTTTTTGTCTGTAGTTTATTCTTAAACCATGTTATCAAATTTGTCAGTAGACATAAATGTCAATTCCTGGTGCTGTTCACGATGTTTGATTAACCAATCACATTTGCAGCATTTTTTTAATTAAGTGAATAGTATCTTATATTTCTCTCCATATTTAGGAATGAGAAAAAGGAAGAATTTGTAAAACAAAAGAAGACAGAAAAAATCCAAGAGAAAAGACAGCAAGAAATAGAACAGGTTGAAAGGGAAGAAAAAGATAAAAGGGCTCTGGAGGAATATGAAAGATGGCTGGTAAACATATTTTTTCACACTTTACTACATTTATCCTTGTGTTTTTTAACAAATAATGCGTGTGAATAACTTTTGAATTATAATCATCAATGCTTTTCATCATGTTATGAAAGTGGCCAGGTGATGGCAGTAGTATACCTTTTTATGCAGTTCCTCTGAGGGTTATTTTAGCAAGTCACTTAAAAGTGCAGTGTATAGGACATCTGGCATACATGGGATATAGTCTCCCTATAGAGTGTGTGCCATAGAGTTCTTTGCATTTTACAGTTAGTGAAAGTACAGTCTTCTCTTCTCCCATTCAATGTCAGGAAGAGCCACCTCTGAAGGGCCAACTCAGCACAGCACAGAACCAGCAAAGGCTAGAAGCAGCACCAGCTGCAAAAGTGAGTGCATTTAGATTCAAGGAAACAGTTTTAAATTTGGGGAGTTGTATAAATCAAAATAAATAAGAACAGTTACATTGAGGATTGAGATTACCTCCATTTGATAGGAAGGGGTGACCTCTGATGTGCTATTGTGGGAAGAAGTCATTAGGAGCCTTTCCAGTCCCACAAAAACCAACAAGTCAAGATTTCTTTACTACCGCTCAGGGGAACCCTAGGAGACAGATACCTAATGCACAGGAACATATACTGTGCTCTCAAAGGGTTTGATTTGCTGATTAGGAGAATGTCTAGCTTCTTCTGCCCCATCCCCACCACCACCTGTGGTGATGCTGTCGGCAGCACACTGAGACATCAATCCTGCAAACAGATAGTCCCACTAAAGTGAAGAACCTACTTACATGCTTAAAGCTGAGTATGTGCAAGTGTTTGCAGGATCAGGGCCTAACTGGCATGCTTGTTGCTGCTCTTCTGAACGGGAGCAGATTGTACCCCACCTCACATCTCCTCTGTCCATTTTCTGAAATCTTGCCCTTGGCTGTGGCTCAAGTCTCTGTATTTTGGAGGTCACATCAGCCAATGTTTCTGTTCATCCTTGCTCTGCTGGCTAGAGCAGTATTTAGGCTTATATAAAAACAATGAGAATGTAAAAATTTCACTTTTTATAAATTTAGGGAAAGAACACTCGTATGACTCAAGTTGTCAATTTATTATCTAGGTAACTAAGAGGATTTTTGTATGTACCCAGATTATTGGTGTCAGTAGTTGTAAGAAGGTAAATAAGTAAAAAAGTGTTCTATTAGAAGACAAGTAACGTAATGAAAATCTATTAATTCTTCCCACTAGCAATCAGTAGGGAAAAATAGTTTTGAGAATTAATTAAATCTTTCAGCTCATGGAGCAAATGGCAGCCTTTATGGATAGCACAAAACAGGAATTTAAAAATCCTCTCTAAATACTTCGAAAACATAAAAATACAATAGAACAGGGAATTCTCTTGTTACTGAAGTGTCATACTGTGGCATAGAGTTCACTGATTGTGTGCATGCTTATCTCAAGGGAAGGGTATGGACAGGACTTTTTCCATCCTGGAATGTAAAACTCTAGAAATGGAGACGCTGAGTTTTTGTTGTTAATACTTCTAAAACTCTAACATGAAAAAGATAACTTTGTTTCCCCTACAGTTAATCCAGTAATTAGAATTCTGTTTTTGTGATATTATTTACCTCTTAGCTACTCAATTTAATAGCAATAGTGGTTCGATTTCCATTTTGTTATACCATGGAGTCATATCAATACCTGAAATAGATTAACAGATGCATGTAGGCATATTAAAATATTTGCAAGCATATATACTGACACCACACCTGGTTCTAGCTGGTGAGTAGTGACATTTCAAGTAAGCACTCTTTCCAAACTACAGATCTTGGAGATTTGTATAGTATAGCAAGTTTATGTATCCTCTAAGAAGCTTGGCCCTTATTCTGAGGGTTAGCACTGCTCAACACCCGTTTTTTTAACATTATTCATCTAATGATGCACCTTATATGTTTATATGCTGTAGGAGTTGTGGTAAATTGAATTAGATGGGTTTTACAGATTTGTTATTTTTTTGTGTTAGAAATAATTCGAATAATTTTACAGATTTTAAGACTTGTTTTGAAAGATTTTATATATAGGAAATCTAGGCTAGTAGTGGTGTAGTAGTGCTCAGCAGTGTTGAAACATGGGCTTTACTACTATTCCTTTTATCTTTGTCCCTAATGCTTCATTAACTGCATAAAACAAAATCATTATGTTGTAACCACACTGCTGTGGGGTATGGTCTTGTCAGATGTTGTAAATGAAGAAAAGTTGCACTGACTCAGTTCTGTTGAAGCAAGTGTGCAAAAACAGCAGTGTGAACATTGAGCCTCAGCCAGCAGCTCAGGTTCTCAAGTCCAGTCAGCCCCCAGGGCTGGAGCTTGTGTGGCTAGGCCAAGTCTCCTCTGGACATGCAGTATTTCTGCTGCTATTTTTAGCATGCTAGCTCGAGCCCTGCTAGCGCAAGTCTGTCTGCCAGGCTCGGAGTCTCGCTCACAGCTGTAGTTTAAACCTACCCCGAAACAGGGTCCCTGAAACAAACATTATTTAATGTATGACTGGCTGCTGCTGCTATTTTGTTTCTTACTGTATCTCTTCCATAATTCTGATTATGCTTCCCACAACACCTGTGTGTACACAACACTCTTGTTTATTATTTGGGGAGGAGGAAGGTTTTTGGTAAGTTATTTCTCATGGGGTTGTGAGTAGTGGTGAGGACTACTTGCAACTGGCCATGTTCGAGAGGTGGGAGAGATGATAGCAGAAGGGCTCTCTTGGCAGGACTTGCTTATCAAATTCTCTCTTTAAAAACCAGCCAAACAAGAACACTCAAACTATAAAAAAATGTCATTAATGCAAATTAAGGTTAGGAACTGAAACCTCAAGAAATGCTTAATTAAGCTGCCGAGACAAGCTTTAATGCTCATCCTGGAGTATATGCTGTGCAATTGGGTTTTTCCTTAAACAAACATACTATGCATCATGTACTCAGTAATACCGTGTTACATATAGCAAGGTGCAATTCCTTAGTAAGATATTATTTGTTAAGTACTGGCCACCAGTGATACGATAAATTAGGGTTACCATATTTTAATTTAAAAAAAGGAGGACACTCCATGGGGCCCCGGCCCTGCCCCTTCCCCATCCCTTCCCCAAAGTCCCCGCCCCAACTCTGCCCCCTCCCCGAACGCTCCGCCCCCGTACTCCTCCCTCTCCCCTGCTTCCCGCGAATCAAATGTTCGCGGGCAGCCTGAAACAGGGAGGCAGCAGGTAAGCTGGGGTTGGGGTGGGGCACGGCACGGCCCAGTCCAGCCGCGCCCACCCCCACCCCCCGGCCGAGCGGCTCCCTCTGGCAGCTGGCCGGCCCAGGCCAAGAGGCTCTGGCCCGGCATCTCCCGCCCGGCTCGGCTTGGGCCCTGGGGTGCCGGCCCCGGCTGAGCACCGCCAGCCCCGGCCTCCCTATTTTCCCGGACATGTCCGGCTTTTTGGGAATTCCTCCTGGACGGGGATTTGAGGCCCAAAAAGCCGGACATGTCCGGGAAAATA